ATTAGTAGAAAACAGAAAATAATCCTTCCATTCTTCCCCCCCCTCCCTCCCGCCTTTCTTCCCCTTTTCCCCCCCTCCCCCCCTCCTCCCTCCCTCCCCCCTTTTTTCCCTCCCTCCCTCCCTCCCTCCCTCCCTCCATTCTTCCCTCCCTTCCCTCCCTCCCTCCCTCCCTCCACTCACATCTTGGTATACTCAGAAATTAGTGTCAGGTGACTGACACGTTTCCAATACGAGACAAACACTAGACTGACATCCCTCTCACATCTCCCTCTCATCTAACTCTCACATCTCCCTCTCATCTAACTCTCACATCTCCCTCTCATCTAACTCTCACATCTCCCTCTCATCTAACTCTCCACATCTCCCTCTCATCTAACTCTCACATCTCCCTCTCATCTAACTCTCACATCTCCCTCTCATCTAACTCTCACATCTCCCTCTCATCTAACTCTCACATCTCCCTCTCATCTAACTCTCACATCTCCCTCTCATCTAACTCTCCTTTCCCTCTCTTTTCCCCCTAACACAAATACCAATTATTTATTATTATTATTATTATTATATTATTATTATTATTATTATTATTATTATTATTATTATTATTTATTATTATTATTATTATTATCAATCATTAATTATTATCATTATTATTATTATTATTATCATTATTATTATTATTATTATTATAATTATTATTATTATTATTATTATTATTATTATTATTATATTATTAATAATTATTATTATTATTATTATTTTCAACAAATATTTCAATAAACAGTATGAAGGTGGTTGTATGATACAGTTGTATAACGACTATGATACACCATCATACAGCAACACACGGGGGGGGGGAGGTTGACTACAACAACAACAACAACAATATTGTATTCTATACAGCTGAATTTACAATGTATACCCGAGGCTGTATAAATAAAAAAAATAAATAGTGATTTTGTGGCTGGTTTTATTGCATGATTTATCCTCCTGACTCATGTGGGTTTAGCACTCGCCTTTCCCTCTACGAACTGGCTGGTGGAGTTCGACCCCGATTAATAATGGGACAAAAGAGGCAGGGAAAGACTGGGGACGGAGTACGGTCACGGGAGGGGGTCCCTTGACGCTAGTGAAGGTCTCTTGATCCACCTCCTGGGATCAAGTCACCGACCTGCCGCATGTCACCGTAGTCGCTGTGTTCACCCTGGTGGTTTAGCGCTTTTTGAAAAATTATGATTAATAACAATAAAAATATTAATAATAATAGCAATAATAAGAGTAATAATAATAATAATAATAATAATAATAATAATAATAATAATAATAATAATAATAATAATAATAATAATAATAATAATAATAATAATAATAATCCTGAACAATATTAACTGGGAAGTGAGTGAAAATAACAGAATTTCTTATATATAAATATTTATTATAATCATTGTTTCAGAAATATTCATATTTTTCAATATTTTTTCCACTTCTCGAATATTACAAAATTTTGAGTTCTTTATTTAACTTAAAAAATAATATAATATAAAACAGCGACTGATGGGGGATACCTGGTCACAGTGACTGAGATAGGGATACCTGGTCACAGTGACTGAGATAGGGATACCTGGTCACAGCGACTGAGATAGGGATACCTGGTCACAGAGACTGAGATAGGGATACCTGGTCACAGTGACTGAGATAGGGATACCTGGTCACAGTGACTGAGATAGGGATACCTGGTCACAGTGACTGAGATAGGGATACCTGGTCACAGTGACTGAGATACGGATACCTGGTCACAGTGACTGAGAAGGGATACCTGGTCACGTGACTGAGATAGGGATACCTGGTCACAGTGACTGAGATAGGGATACCTGGTCACAGTGACTGAGATACGGATACCTGGTCACAGTGATTGAGATAGGGATACCTGGTCACGGTGACTGAGATAGGGATACCTGGTCACAGTGACTGAGATAGGGATACCTGGTCACAGTGACTGATATAGGGATACCTGGTCACAGTGACTGAGATAGGGATACCTGGTCACAGTGACTGAGATAGGGATACCTGGTCACAGTGACTGATGTAGGGATACCTGGTCACGGTGACTGAGATAGGGATACCTGGTCACAGTGACTGGAGATACGGATACCTGGTCACAGTGACCTGAGATACGGATACCTGGTCACGGTGACTGAGATAGGGATACCTGGTCACAGTGACTGAGATAGGGATACCTGTGTCACAGTGACTGAGATACGGATACCTGTCACAGTGACTGAATAGGGATACCTGGTCACGGTGACTGAGATAGGGATACCGGTCACAGTGACTGAGATAGGGATACCTGGTCACAGTGACTGAGATAGGGATACCTGGTCACAGTGACTGAGATAGGGATACCTGGTCACAGTGACTGAGATAGGGATACCTGGTCACAGTGACTGATGTAGGGATACCTGGTCACAGTGACTGAGATAGGGATACCTGGTCACAGTGACTGAGATACGGATACCTGGTCACAGTGACTGAGATAGGGATACCTGGTCACGGTGACTGAGATAGGGATACCTGGTCACAGTGACTGAGATAGGGATACCTGGTCACGGTGACTGAGATAGGGATACCTGGTCACAGTGACTGAGATAGGGATACCTGTCACAGTGACTGAGATAGGGATACCTGGTCACAGTGACTGAGAATAGGATACCTGGTCACAGTGACTGAGATAGGGATACCTGGTCACAGTGACTGATGTAGGGATACCTGGTCACAGTGACTGAGATAGGGATACCTGGTCACAGTGACTGAGATACGGATACCTGGTCACAGTGACTGAGATAGGGATACCTGGTCACGGTGACTGAGATAGGGATACCTGGTCACAGTGACTGAGATAGGGATACCTGGTCACGGTGACTGAGATAGGGATACCTGGTCACAGTGACTGAGATAGGGATACCTGGTCACAGTGACTGAGATAGGATACCTGGTCACAGTGACTGAGATAGGGATACCTGGTCCACGGTGGACTGAGATAGGGATACCTGGTCACAGTGACTGAGATAGGGATACCTGGTCACGGTGACTGAGATATGGATACCTGGTCACGGTGACTGAGATAGGGATACCTGGTCACAGTGACTGAGATAGAGATACCTGGTCACAGTGACTGAGATAGGGATACCTGGTCACGGTGACTGAGATAGGGATACCTGGTCACAGTGACTGAGATAGGGATACCTGGTCACGGTGACTGAGATAGGGATACCTGGTCACGGTGACTGAGATAGGGATACCTGGTCACAGTGACTGAGATAGGGATGCCTGGTCATAGTGACTGAGATAGAGATACCTGGTCACAGTGACTGAGATAGGGATACCTTGTCACAGTGACTGAGATAGGGATACCTGGTCACAGTGACTGATATAGGATACCTGGTCACAGTGGACTGAGATAGGGATACCTGGTCACAGTGACTGATATAGGGATACCTGGTCACAGTGACTGAGATAGAGATACCTGGTCACAGTGACTGAGATAGGGATACCTAGTCACAGTGACTGATATAGGGATACCTGGTCACAGTGACTGAGATAGGGATACCTGGTCACAGTGACTGATATAGGGATACCTGGTCACAGTGACTGAGATAGGGATACCTGGTCACAGTGACTGATGTAGGGATACCTGGTCACAGTGACTGATGTAGGGATACCTGGTCACAGTGACTGAGATAGGGATACCTGGTCACAGTGACTGAGATAAGGATACCTGGTCACAGCGACTGAGATAGGGATACCTGGTCACAGTGACAGAGATAGGGATACCTGGTCACAGTGGCTGAGATAGGGATACCTGGTCACAGTGACTGATGTAGGGATACCTGGTCACAGTGACTGAGATAGGATACCTGTCACAGTGACTGAGATAGGGATACTGGTCCACAGTGACGAGATAGGGATACCTGGTCACAGTGACTGATGTAGGGATACCTGGTCACAGTGACCGATATAGGGATACCTGGTCACAGTGACTGATATAGGGACACCTGGTCACAGTGACTGATGTAGGGATACCTGATCACAGTGACTGATGTAGGGATACCTGGTCACAGTGACTGATATAGGGATACCTGGTCACAGTGACTGATATAGAGATACCTGGTCACAGTGACTGATGTAGGGATACTTGGTCACAGTGACTGATGTAGGGATACCTGGTCATAGTGACTGATATAGGGATACCTGGTCACAGTGACTAATGTAGGGATACCTGGTCACAGTGACTGATGTAGGGATACCTGGTCACAGGGACTGATATAGGAATACCTGGTCACAGTGACTGATGCAGGAATACATGGGCACAGCGGCTAATGGGGGATACCCGTCACAGCCTTTGATGCAGGAATACCTGGTCCCAGTCTTTGATGCAGGGATACCTGGTTCCAGTCTTTGATGCAGGGATACCTGTTTCCAGTCTTTGATGCAGGGATACCTGGTTCCAGTCTTTGATGCAGGGATACCTGGTTCCAGTCTTTGATGCAGGGGTAACTGGTTCCAGTCTTTGATGCAGGTGTAACTGGCCCCGGTCTTTGATGCAGGGATACCTGGTCCCAGTCTTTGATGCAGGGATAACTGGTTCCAGTTTTTGATGCAGGGATACCTGGTTCCAGTCTTTGATGCAGGGATACCTGGTTCCAGTCTTTGATGCAGGGGTAACTGGTTCCAGTTTTTGATGCAGGGATACCTGGTTCCAGTCTTTGATGCAGGGGTAACTGGCCCCGGTCTTTGAAGCAGGGATACCTGGTCCCAGTCTTTGATGCAGGGGTAACTGGCCCCGGTCTTTGATGCAGGGATACCTGGTTCCAGTCTTTGATGTAGGGATACCTGGTCCCAGTCTTTGATGCAGAGATACCTGGTTCCAGTCTTTGATATAGGGATACCTGGTCCCATTCTTTGATGCAGGGATACTTGGTTCCAGTCGTTGATGAAGGGATACCTGGTCACAGTCTTTAATGTAGGAAAACCTGGTCACAGTCTTTGATGTAGGGATACCTAATCCCAGTCTTTGATGTTGGGACACCTGGTTAGAGTCTTCGATGCAGGGATACCTGGTTCAGTTCTTTGATGCAGGGATACCTGGTTCAATTCTTTGATGCAGGGATACCTGGTCCAAGTCTTTGATGCTGGGATACCTGGTCACAGTCTTTGATGTAGGGATAACTGGTCACAGTCTTTGATGTAGGGATAACTGGTCACAGTCTTTGATGTAGGGATACCTGGTCACAGTCTTTGATGTAGGGATACCTGGTCACAGTCTTTGATGTAGGATAACTGGTCACAGTCTTTGATGTAGGGATAACTGGTCACAGTCTTTGATGTAGGGATACCTGGTCAGAGTCTTTGATGTAGGGATACCTGGTCACAGTCTTTGATGTAGGGATAACTGGTCACAGTCTTTGATGTAGGGATAACTGGTCACAGTCTTTGATGTAGGGATAACTGGTCACAGTCTTTGATGTAGGGATAACTGGTCACAGTCTTTGATGTAGGGATAACTGGTCACAGTCTTTGATGTAGGGATACCTGGTCAGAGTCTTTGATGTAGGGATACCTGGTCACAGTCTTTGATGTAGGGATAACTGGTCACAGTCTTTGATGTAGGGATAACTGGTCACAGTCTTTGATGTAGGGATAACTGGTCACAGTCTTTGATGTAAGGATAACTGGTCAGTCTTTGATGTAGGGATACCTGGTCACAGTCTTTGATGTAGGGATAACTGGTCACAGTCTTTGATGTAGGGATAACTGGTCACAGTCCTCTCTGTTCAGTACTTTATAAAGCACTAAACAGAGTAGCCTGGGTTGGCTTAATCCAGGTAACTGGCTTGTCAACCCACTGCTGCTATTCCTGTCTTCTCTAGGTATCCTCAACACGTAACTATTATCCCCTTTAGTTATTCTTCCTTTCCATTTGTACACTTTATCAGTTTCATCATGTCTGTCTTTATTCTCCCTCACTCTAGAGAATTCCTTAAATATTTTTGTTAGAGTGTTTGGGTTTGAGAAGGACGTGTCTAGTATGGGCCAGCAGGCCTGCAGTGTTCCTTCTTTCTTACATGTGTTCTTCTCTTCTCATCCTCTTAGGAAGGATCTCTGACACACGGGATCAACTTGGTCATCCTTCTCTCTTTTCCCAGAGCATTTACCGTATTTTCCGGCATATAAGGCGCGTTTTTTCTCCACAACTCTTGGAAAATCAGCCTGCGCCTTATATGCTCAAGGTAAGGATCAAGGGTAGGTTCTGGGTCACAGTTTAGCAGTTGTTTACTAACGTTACGTTACCACTGCTTTCAAACATCGTCTTATATGATCGTGCGCCTTATATGGCGGAAAATAAGGTATGTCCATTCTGTAAATATGGAGACCAGAACAGCGCAGCATAATCTAAAAGAGACCTTACCAATGGTAGGCAAACTTGAAGCATAACCTGAGGACTCCTGTCATATCTACTGGATATGAAGCCAAGAATTCTCTCAGCATCATCGGGAAGGTTTATATACCGTTGTCCTGGCTTCAGATTACTGCCAAGCACAACTTATAAATCTTTATTCAACCCAACTGGATCAAAATTTGCATAAATAAGCTTGTGTCATGGGTTATCTTCCTTTTTCTAGGACTGGAACTTCACACTTGCTCACGCTGATGGACACTGCCACTTTCACCACACGAGGCCTGGTCATGGACCGGGCCGAGGGGGCGTTCACCCCCGGAACAGCCTCCAGATATATACGTCGTTAACTTATCCAGGTTGTCCTTTAGTGCTCTAGGGTCCTCTTCAGATGACAGAGGACGGCCTATTGTAGAGTTATCGGGAAATTTGCTTATGTCCTTATTTAGTCCATGCTGCTGTGGGCAACATGGGTCCCAACATTGACATGGGAGTGCCTACCCACAGCTGGAATGGGCCTGCCCTACCCACAGCTGGAATGGGCCTGCCCTACCCACAGCTGGAATGGGCCTGCCCTACCCACAGCTGGAATGGGCCTGCCCTACCCACAGAATCTGTTAACATTGCCTCCCTCCAGCACTTGCTGTTCCCGACGCACCAACTGCTGTTCCTTGCGAGCCTTACGATTTCTGACGTGCAGCATCTTGACGGAGGCCACGAAAATAACCATTACCAGGATGATGACTCCGAGGACTACCAGGACTACCAAACCACTCATAGCGTCCATTTTCTGCTCCTCCTGCAGGAGAACACGAGAGTATAAGAAAGGAGGAACACTGCGGCAGGCCTACTGGCCCATGCTAGGCAGGTCCAAGTCACATCCAGAGCAACCAGAGGGAATGAGTGGAACAGGAGTTGAGGAACAGAGAGAGAGAGGGGTGGTGATGGAGGGAGAGAGGCAGGAATGAAGACGGAAAGAGAGATAGGAAGAAGGAACACACACACAGACACACACTGGAGGACAGGAGGGATAGAGGGGGACATGATAACAACATATAAAATACTGAGAGGAATTGACAAGGTGGACAGAGACAGGACGATTCAGAGATGTTACTCAGCAACAAGGGGTCACAACTGGAAGTTGAAGATTCAGATAAATCAGAGGGATGTTAGGAAGTATTTCTTCAGCCATAAAGTTGTCAGGAAGTGGAAAAATCTGGAGAGTGATGTAGTGGAGGCAGGATCCATACATAGTTTTAAGGAGAGGTATGATGAAATTCATGGAACAGGGAGAGAGTGGACATAGTAGCGACCAGAAAGGAGGCGGGGCCAGGAGCTATGACTCGACCCCTGCAGCTACAATTAGATGAATTAGGTGAGTACAAACACACACACACATACACACACACACCTGGATATTCCTGGTGTATTTCTTCAGAGGGAAGTAAGCCGTGGCGAGGTTGGACAAATTACCAGAGTTCCCCATCTCATCCCTGGCTCTGACCACGAAGAACACTGCTCGACCTTCAAGACTCTCAACACTACGATCCAACATCTGAAATAACATTATATATATATATATATATATATATATATATATATATATATATATATATATATATATATATATATATTATATATATATATATATATATATATATATATTATATATATTATATAAATATACTATATGGTATATATATATATATATATAAAACAAACAAGTGATGCAAAATAACCGCTGTGAGAAAATAGTGAATTTCCAAGAGCTTTCGTGAGGTTTCACATTATCAAGGAACTTTACTATATGCATATTATTATTATTATTATATTATTATTTTTTATTATTATTATTATTATATTATTATTATTATTATTATTATTATTATTATTATTATTATTATTATTATTATTATTATTATTGTAGTATCTTACAGGTTGTTTTACTATTAATAAAAATTTGACTGACCTTGAGAGTAATATTGTGGGGCTGACCTGCTGGCCTGGGGGTCAGGTCACCGGAGGTCAGGTGACTGGAGTTGACCTGGTGACCCACGTGGAAGTTACTGTGTATGCTCATACTCTCGTGATACCTCAGTTCGAGCACCGTAGCTGTAGAGGGAGGGGGGAGAGTGAGAGTGGGAGGAGTGGGAGGGAGGGACAGAATGTGAAAGAGGGGAAAGTTTGAGTGGTTAATAGGGGTTTAAAGTCTATCTACTACACGAGGGTCATTAAGGCTGATTGGTTGGTTAATGGGGTTTAAAGTCAATCTACTACACGAGGGTCATTAAGGCTGATTGGTTGGTTAATGGGGTTTAAAGTCTATCTACTACACGAGGGTCATTAAGGCTGGTTGGTTGGTTAATGGGGTTTAAAGTCTATCTACTACACGAGGGTCATTAAGGGTGGTTGGTTGGTTAATGGGGTTTAAGTCTATTTACTACACGAGGGTCATTAAGGCTAGTTGGTTGGTTAATGGGTTTTAAAGTCTATTTACTACACGAGGGTCTTTTAAAGGGGGTTGGTTTGGTTAATGGGTTAAAGTCTATCTACTACAAAGATGGTCATTAAGGCTGGTTGGTTGGTTAATGGGTTTAAAGTCTATTTACTACACGAGGGTCATTAAGGCTGGTTGGTTGGTTAATGGGGGTTTTAAAATCTATTTACTACACGAGGGTCATTAAGGCTGGTTGGTTGGTTAATGGGGTTTAAAGTCTATCTACTACACGAGGGTCATTAAGGCTGGTTGGTTGGTTAATGGGGTTTAAAGTCTATTTACTACACGAGGGTCATTAAGGCTGGTTGGTTGGTTAATGGAGTTTAAAGTCTATCTACTACACGAGAGTCATTAAGGCTGGTTGGTAGGTTAATGGGGTTTAAAGTCTATCTACTACACGAGGGTCATTAAGGCTGGTTGGTTGGTTAAGGGGTTTTAAAATTCTATCTCTACACGAGAGGGCATTAAGGCTGGTTGGTTGGTTAATGGGGTTTAAGTCTACTACTACACGAGGGTCATTAAGGCTGGTTGGTTGGTTAATGGGGTTTTTAAAGTCTATCTACTACACGAGGGTCATTAAGGCTGGTTGGTTGGTTAATGGGGTTTAAAGTCTTCTACTACACGATGGTCATTAAGGCGGTTGGTTGGTTAATTGGAGTTTAAAAGTCTATCTAAATACACGAGAGTCATTAAGGCGGTTGGTTGGTTATGGGGTTTAAAGTCTATTTTCTACACGAGGGTCATTAAGCTGGTTGGTTGGGGTTTAAAGGGGTTTAAAGTTTTATTTACTACCGAGGGTCATTAGGCTGGTTGGTTGGTTAATGGGTTTAAATTCTATCTAACCGATGGTCATTAAGGCTGGTTGGTTTGGTTAATGGGTTTAAAGTCTATTTACTACACGAGGGTCATTAAGGCTGGTTGGTTGGTTAATGGGGTTTAAAGTCTATTTACTACACGAGGGTCATTAAGGCTGGTTGGTTGGTTAATGGGGTTTAAAGTCTATCTACTACACGAGGGTCATTAAGGCTGGTTGGTTGGTTAATGGGGTTTAAAGTCTATTTACTACACGAGGGTCATTAAGGCTGGTTGGTTGGTTAATGGAGTTTAAAGTCTATCTACTACACGAGAGTCATTAAGGCTGGTTGGTAGGTTAATGGGGTTTAAAGATATCTAACTACACGAGGGTCATTAAGGCTGGTTGGTTGGTTTTAATGGGGGTTTAAAGTCTATCTACTACACGAGAGTCATTAAGGCTGGTTGGTAGGTTAATGGGGTTTAAAGTCTATCTACTACACGAGGGTCATTAAGGCTGGTTGGTTGGTTAATGGGGTTTAAAGTCTATCTACTACACGAGGGTCATTAAGGCTGGTTGGTTGGTTAATGGGGTTTAAAGTCTCTCTACTACACGATGGTCATTAAGGCTGGTTGGTTGGTTAATGGAGTTTAAAGTCTATCTACTACACGAGAGTCATTAAGGCTGGTTGGTTGGTTAATGGGGTTTAAAGTCTATCTACTACACGAGGGTCATTAAGGCTGGTTGGTTGGTTAATGGAGTTTAAAGTCTATCTACTACACGAGAGTCATTAAGGCTGGTTAGTTGGTTAACGGAGTTTAAAGTCTATCTACTACACGAGGGTCATTAAAGCTGGTTAGTTGGTTAATGGAGTTTAAAATCTATCTACTACACGAGGGTCTTTAAGCCTGGTTAGTTGTTTAATGGAGTTTAAAGTCTATCTACTACACGAGGGTCATTAAGGCTGGTTGGTTGGTTAATGGGGTTTAAAGTCTATCTACTACACGAGGGTCATTAAGGCTGCATGTCACCTGTACACCACCAGTCAAGAATACTTTAATACCTAAAATACTGATTAATGTAAACTACCAGTGTATATACACTGAGAAACATACACCTCTCAGTGTATATACACTGAGAAACATACACCTCTCGTGTATAACACTGAGAGACATACACCTCTCAGTGTATATACACTGAGAGACATACACCTCACAGTGTATATACACGAGAGACATACACCTCTCAGTGTTAAACACTGAGAGACATACACCTCTCAGTGTAAAACACACTGAAAGACATACACCTCTCAGTGTATACACACTGAGAGACATACACCTCTCAGTGTATACACACTGAGAGACATACACCTCTCAGTGTATACACACTGACAGACATACACCTCTCAGTGTATACACACTGAGAGACATACACCTCTCAGTGTATACACACTGAGAGACATACACCTCTCAGTGTATACACACTGAGAGACATACACCTCTCAGTATATACACACTGAGAGACATACACCTCTCAGTATATACACACTGAGAGACATACACCTCTCAGTATAAATAAATAACAAAAAGGAACAATACCGTGACTGGAACAATACACAGACAACCCGCACATGGAAGAGAGGAACTTACGACGACGTTTCGGTCGGAAACAGTCTAGATTCCTGTCCTATCTAGACAGTTGAGGTTAGAATAGAAGGAAGGAGCTGAGAATGATGATAGATCTTGAAGAGTGTAGAATAGAGAGGATAGATTGGAGTCAAACAGAGTACAGAACAATTATCCTTCAACTAGTAAACCTGGATACCTCACCAGTGTGTTGCTACAGTATTCTACGTGAGTATACCTGGAGGCTGGTTTAGAAAGACACGTAAGCAAACACTATAACATATTTATTAGAAAACGTTTCGGTCCTGGGACCTTGATCACTTGTAACATACAGAGGTAGAAAGACATTGTGTACGAATGGTATATAATACCGACAAGATGAGAGTAAGACACATGTGCAACATCTGGGTATCTTTATTGTAGACGTTTCGCCATCCAGTGGCTTTATCAATACAAATTCTAGGACATAACTTGAAGACAGTAGAACTATGTACAGAAGATGAGGTAATCAGTCCCTCAACCTAGGAGTAGGTGCAAACAGCACCATAGTCGTGGAGATTCTGAAGCAGAAGAAAGAATCCTGGCGCTTATATAGTAACGTCAGGTGTAGCAGACGAGGGCAATTCACTGGTAGGCGGGATTCCCCAGTGGAAGTAGGTCCTTCCCAAAGAGATGGGTTAGTTGTAGTAGTAGTTGTCGAAGTCGTGAAGGTTATGTACATGTCCTCAGAATTAAGATTCCATGATGTTGCAGTGTCTGACAAGTTGTGTACGAATGGTATATAATACCGACAAGATGAGAGTAAGACACATGTGCAACATCTGGGTATCTTTATTATATACCATTCTTTATTATATACCATCGGTATTATATACCATTCGTACACAACTTGTCAGACACTGCAACATCATGGAATCTTAATTCTGAGGACATGTACATAACCTTCACGACTTCGACAACTACTACTACAACTAACCCATCTCTTTGGGAAGGACCTACTTCCACTGGGGAATCCCGCCTACCAGTGAATTGCCCTCGTCTGCTACACCTGACGTTACTATATAAGCGCCAGGATTCTTTCTTCTGCTTCAGAATCTCCACGACTATGGTGCTGTTTGCACCTACTCCTAGGTTGAGGGACTGATTACCTCATCTTCTGTACATAGTTCTACTGTCTTCAAGTTATGTCCTAGAATTTGTATTGATAAAGCCACTGGATGGCGAAACGTCTACAATAAAGATACCCAGATGTTGCACATGTGTCTTCCTCTTAGAAAGACATTATATGTATAGGCGGAGAGTGAGATGTGACGCACGTGACCTGAGGAGTGTCATAAGAACATAAGAATGGAGGAACACTGTAGAAGGCCTACTAGCCCATGCGAGGCAGGTCCTTATCAAAACAACCTCTGCCTATGAGGACGGGTAGACGATGAAATCATGTGACTCCTGTGTTGTTGGGTTGGTGCTGCTTAAGTATCATGTATGCCAATGTTTTTGAAATTTTGTAGTTTCCAGTGTTGCGTTCTATAGTGTCGGTGACGGCGATTAGTGAGGCTTCTAGGCACCGTCGGCGTCTGAGGTCTGGTTCGGTGAGAACGAGATGTGCCTCATTCCAGTTCATCAGATGCCCCGTGGAGTCTCCATGGAGGACACAGGCGTACCTTACATCGTCTCTGTTAGAGGCATTTCGATGTTCATTCAGACGGACTGCAAGATCTCTGCCTGTCTCGCCTACATATTTCTTGGGACAGAACCCACAGGGGATAGTGCAGACGCCTGCTGTAGAAGTTAGAGGTGTGGGGCTGCGTTTCGTAGTGAGGTCTTTGATAGATGATGTGTTTATGGTGGAAACGTTGATGTTACTCATAGCAAGTGCCCGGCGAGTATTCTAAACCAACTTGTCGGTATTTATTACCAAGGTTTATACCACCTGGAGGGTATACCTGGTGGGGTGATTCAGGGGTTAACGCCATCGCGGCCCGGTCCATGACCAGGAACAAAAGTTAGCTGTGTTTCCCTGTCATATTCACACACACCTTAGGGTTATTGAAGCTAAAACTTTGGGTAGTTTCAAGTTTAGGTTGGATAAATACATGAGTGAGAAGGGTTCGACTTGAGTGGGACTTACACATGAGTAAATAGATTTATCAGAGCTTACTGTTAGGTTAGTACTGAAAGTGGGTCGGGTAAATATTCTACTAGTGGGTTGGATTGTAACGGACCTACCCAGTATGGGCCAACAGGCCTCCTGCAGTGTTCCTCCTTTCTTATGCTCTTAGGATGGGGTTGTGTCAGCCTAAACTGTGAGGCTTTAATATCAGCAAGTGTTCCATTTATTTATTTATTTATTTATTTGGATATGATACATGGTTGTACGACAGGTACGACAGCTTCAAAGGTTTCCTTCTAGCAGGACTGTAGTTACTATCCCCTGGGGGATTACCATCTCTCAGGATGGACTATCATATACACAGGGGAGATGGTATGTAGGGAGATGTTTTCACTCTCAGAGAGAGAGAAAGAGATAACAGCTCTTGGCTTGTAAATAAAATTAGGAACCTTAACCCAACCTTGTAAAACACTGTGTAAAAGAGGGAGAGAGAAAGAAGTGCCTCACCTGTGCCTGTGTAGAGGTCGTCACCAGGGCTGGTCCAGGTGAGGGATACCAGGGCATCGTAGAGGTAGACAAAAGACACTGTCAGGTCAGTCACTCTACCTGGAGGTTGCTGGTCACCAGGCTGGTAGTTGTGTACCTGTACAGGTAACGCACCCTCAGTTACTATTATCACTTAATTTTCTAACAAAATGTACACACTCACTTGGACCTGCCTAGCATGGGCCAATAGGTGACATGGACCTGCCTAGCATAGGCCAGTAGGCCTATACAGTGCTCCTTCAGTCTTATGTTCTTTCTTAAGTACACATAGATGCTAATAGTGCAACCACAGTCCACTGTACCTCTGATCCTAAAGAGGTATCCCAGTACTGTACAACCACAGTCCACTGTACAGGGATACCTTTCTGGGATCACTGAGGTAGAGGAGACTGTGGTTACAAGATACAAGACACACCTTCCTAGAATCAACATACATCAAGCTAATGCAACAACAGTGACATGAGAAGCTCTAAACCCTCACGACTCACGCACAACACTGACCTTGAAGATGCCGCCGGAAGTGAACCTGGTGAAGGGCTCTACCCGCATGCGATTCACGTCGCCGCAGCAAGGCGCATGCGGGGCCCCTGAGGGCTCCTCCGAGGGCACCAGGTCCCCCGGGGCAAAGGTGGAGTCCGGCTCCGGCAGTGATACCGTCAGGGGAAGTGTCAGGCGCCTGAGGGCGGAAGTGCCGGGCTGACGAAGATGACCCTCTGGCGCTCCTGACAGGGCTGACATCGAAGTACTCGTTACTATTATATCTGCTGACATCGAAGCCCATTTATGCCAAGCAACAGCAGGAGGGGGTGTAGTAACAGAAGGAGGGGGTGTAGTAACAGCAGGAGGAGGTGTAGCAACAGCAGGAGGGGGTGTAGTAACAGCAGGAGGGGGTGTAGAAACAGCAAGAGGGGTGTAGTAACAGCAGGAAGAGGTGTAGTAACAGCAGGAGGAGGTGTAGCAACAACAGGAGGAGGTGTAATAACAGCAGGAGGAGGTGTAGTAACAGCAGGAGGGGTGTAGCAACAGCAAGAGGGGGTGTAGCAACAACAGGATGGGGTGTAGCAACAACAGTATTGGGTGTAACATGAACAGTATACAGTGTAGTAATAACAGGAATGTATGTAGCAACAGCAGTAGGGGTGTAGCCACAACAAGAAGGGGTGTTGCAACAAGAGGAGGGTGTAGCATCAACGGTATGGGGTGTAACCTGAACAGTATAGATTGTAGCAACAACAGGAGAGGATGTAGCAACAGCAGTCGGGGATGTAACAACAGAACACCAGCAGTTGTGACAGAGTTACCTTGCAGTTTTGCTGTACGGTTGCTGGTAGAGACGGTAGCTGAGACGCTGTACCGGCCATTACCGGAATACTGAGTGAAGAACGCAGAGTATATCCCATCCCCTGACCGTAAGTCTGCACCTGTGGTACACAACCAACACTGGAGCAATGTAATAATAGTAATATAATAATAATAATAATAATAATCTTTATTTCTACAAGTACATGATACAGCTTATACAGAGCATAGTTGATATCAATGTACCTAAATAAACTTACTGTATTTCATAACCTGAGTTTTTGTTTGTGGTTTATAGGGCTACTCACAGCCTACACCGTAACGAACCCGGTCGTCCGTCGCTCATCCTCACCTCCACATCTCTTGCCAACTTACCAACGCCGTTGTCCAGGAGAGGGAAGGAGATAGACTTCTCCTCGGTGGGTGGTACAATGAATGCTGTGACTGTAGCATCGAGTACCATGCTGTACCCCTGGCTAACGTAGGCGAATACCAGGGCTGGTTCAGGGTAGGTGATATTGTTAGCTGACATCCACGCCTTCACCCTGAGGGTCGTTTCAAGAAGAGTTCAGTCTTGGTACTGATTTAATCCCTGACTGAATTACTTGACAAGAAAAAAAGCTTCAGTCTTAGCATTATTAAAGTCCCTGACCGAGTTATCCGATAAGGTCAATGCCTTTATTTTACCATAATTAAAGTCCCTGACTGCTTTATCCGACAAGGAAAGGGCTTTAACCTTAGCATTATTCACGATAAAGCTGGGTTATTTGACTAAAGTTGAACAATAGTGTTAATAATAAAAGAATCTTCAACTTTAGTTCATTTCCCTGTTAAACTGTTCCTCTCTGAACATGTTCAGTATTTCTCCCAGTTTTTCGAATTACGAAGAAAAATAAATGTTAAGTTTAAACTATGTAAAAATTGACGTTTGAACTACCGTTGAATAAGTCACTTAATGTATATAAACGATAAAACAGTTTATTCTACACATTTTTTCAATGATTTAGAAGCTATCAAAAATATTCACTTCAATTTCAATTTGAAATCAATCTCACAGTCAAATCTTTTTCAGTGTCATCGATCCATATTAAAAAAAAAAAAGTGTAACTGGACTAGAGGTCGAGGACTTACCTGACTGGAGCCTGGCCAGTCTTCCTGCTGGGGTGGGAGGTGACAGCAACCTGCACCTCGTCAGGTTGGGGGTAGGTGCGAGGGTGACCTGCAGGGTTCCTGATGATGTAGGTCCAGCGACCTGCCTGGTACACACACACACCTTGGTTAAACTACTGCACGTCACATGTAAATTACCAACGCATGATACAAGAGGACAGTAGGCCTACTACAATGTTACAAGAGGACAGTAGGCCTTCTACAATGTTACAAGAGGACAGTAGGCCTTCTACAATGTTACAAGAGGACAGTAGGCCTTCTACAATGTTACAAGAGGACAGTAGGCCTTCTACAATGTTACAAGAGGACAGTAGGCCTTCTACAATGTTACAAGAGGAAAGTAGGCCTACTACAATGTTACAAGAGGACAGTAGGCCTTCTACAATGTTACAAGAGGACAGTAGGCCTTCTACAATGTTACAAGAGGAAAGTAGGCCTACTACAATGTTACAAGAGGACAGTAGGCCTACTACAATGTTACAAGAGGACAGTAGGCCTACTACAATGTTACAAGAGGACAGTAGGCTTACTACAATGTTACAAGAGGACAGTGGGCCTACTACAATGTTACAAGAGGACAGTAGGCCTACTACAATGTTACAAGAGGACAGTAGGCTTACTACAATGTTACAAGAGGACAGTAGGCCTATTACAATGTTACAAGAGGGCAGTAGGCTTACTGTAATGCATCCATGCAGTTGGCTACACCAACTGCTGACCCACTGACTCATCTATCACACTGACTCAGTCACACTGACTCAGTGCTTGAGTCAGTGTGAATAATAATCCGCTGGAAAATAATTTGTAATTAGGTTTCAATGCTATCTACTACACGAGGGTCATTAATCAGTATTTTAGGTATTAAAGTGACATGCAGCCTTAATGACCCTCGTGTAGTAGATAGACTTTAAACCCCATTAACCAGCGAGGCTGGTGCCAGGCTGGTGCCAGGTTGGTGCCAGGCTGGTGCCAGGCTGGTGCCAGGCAGGTGCCAGGCTGGTGCCAGGCTGGTGCCAGGCTGGTGCCAGGCTGGTGCCAGACTGGTGCCAGGCTGGTGCCAGGCTGTTCCCAGGCTGGTGCCAGACTGGTGCCAGGCTGGTGCCAGACTGGTGCCAGGCTGGTGCCAGGCTGTTCCCAGGCTGGTGCCAGACTGGTGCCAGGCTGGTGCCAGACTGGTGCCAGGCTGGTGCCAGGCTGGTGCCAGGCTGGTGCCAGGCTGGTGCCAGGCAGGTGCCAGGCTGTTCCCAGGCAGGTGCCAGGCTGGTGCCAGGCTGGTGCCAGGCTGGTGCCAGGCTGTTCCCAGGCTGGTACCATGCTGGTGCCAGGCTGGTGCCAGGCTGGTGCCAGGCTGGTGCCAGGCTGTTCCCAGGCTGGTGCCAGGCTGGTGCCAGGCTGGTGCCTGGCGGACATACCAACACAGAGTCAACAAGAAACTTGAAATTAAAATCCTCAAGCCAGTACAAGTTAAATTTGTGTTTCAGTGGATAAGACAACACTAGTCATGCACTGCCAAGTTAAACAAGAGCTCCTGGCCCTCTTAACACTGGTAAATATTGACTTTATCCTCTTAAAACAGAGTGAAATTACAGCTTAATAGATATTAACAGAGCGAAATTACCGCTTAATAGACATAAACAGAGTGAAATTACCGTTTAATAGACATAAACAGAGTGAAATTACCGCTTAATAGACATAAACAGAGTGAAATTACCGCTTAATAGACATAAACAGAGTGAAATTACCGCTTAATAGACATAAACAGAGTGAAATTACCGCTTAATAGACATAAACAGAGTGAAATTACCGCTTAATAGACATAAACAGAGTGAAATTACCGCTTAATAGACATAAACAGAGTGAAATTACCGCTTAATATACATAAACAGAGTGAAATTACCGCTTAATAGACATAAACAGAGTGAAATTACCGTTTAATAGACATAAACAGAGTAAACTACTGTTAATAGACATAAACATAGTAAATTACCGTTTAACAGACATTAAACCCCTGTAATTACCGTTGAATAGACATGACATTCTCTTCAAACTCCCTCATGTTAGTTGAATTATTCTGAGTATTTGATGAATCAGACACATGAGTAAGATACAAGTACTGAACGTATATCTTATTCATCAATAACTACTAAATATACTCTGTCAGAAACAATCACACCTGATTGGGTGATTGGTGGGAGGTGTGACCTCTCTACGAGATGAGGTGACCTTCCCTCTGCTGACACGTCTCATCTGAGGTGCTCGGTGCGTCTTGTGTCTGCTGAAGAGGACCTCAGCGGGAGGTTGAAATAGAAGAGTGATCTGTTTTATGTGTTGCACAGCGTCCAGGGTCAACGAACCTCTGTGTATATACACTGAGACGTGTATGTCTCTGTGTATATACACTGAGAGGTTTATGTCTCTCTGTGTATATACACTGAGAGGTGTGTGTCTTTCTGTGTATATACACTGAGAGGTTACGTCTCTCGTGTATATACACTGAGAGTGTGTGCTTTCTGGATTCAGTGAGAGGGGTATGTCTCTCGTGTATATACACTGGAGGTTTATGTCCACTGTTAATCACTGAGAGGTGTATTCTCTGTGTATATACACTGAGATGTATGTCTTTGTGTATATACACGAAGGTGTATTCTTTGTGTATATACACTGTAGGTGATGTCCTCTCTGTGTATTACATGAGAGTTATGTATCCTCAGTGTAATACATTGACAGAGTATATCTCAGGTATTACACTGGTAGTTTACATTAATCAGTATTTTGGGATAAAGTATTTTGACTGGTGTGTACAGGTTGACATGCGCCTTAATGACCCTCGTGTAGTAGATAGACTTAACCCATTAACCAAGTCAAGATTTCTACCATGCCGTGATGTTGAAAATGATGGCCTGGTGGCATTGTCAGACGATAGTGCCAGCCAGGCTTGTGTAACTGTACAGGTGGCCTCGGTCTGAAGTACTGGCCTGATAGTAAACCTGGGATGTGCAGTATCTGAAGTAATTACTTGGGTGAACTATCGTAGTATGGCTGATTAGTAACACCTGTTGCCTGGAAGGTATACTTGTCTGTGAGGGATACTAGTTGCCTGGGAGGGATACCTGATGTCTGTGAGGGATACCTGCTGCCTGGGAGGGATATCTGCTGCCTGGAAGGGATACCTGCTGCCTGGAAGGGATGCCTGCTGCCTGGAAGGGATACCTGCTGCCTGGAATGGATATCTGCTGCCTGGAAGGGATACCTGGTGCCTGGAAGGGATACCTGCTGCCTGGGAAAGGAAGGAGGTGAATACCTGAAAGAAGGGGAGGATACACCTAAAGAAAGGGGGATACCTGCTGCCTGGGAGATGAAATAGGGTAGGGATACCTGGAAGAAACTGGGAATACTCACGGGTTATAAGGGCTGACGATGCTCTCAGTGAAGGTGAACCTGGTCTCATGACCGAGGCTCGAGTCCAGAACCACCTGGCCGGTCTCTAGACCACCTCGCGCCGCTACCTCGTGAGTCCGACGGTACACCTGGTAAGGTACACACACCAGGTCAGTCAGGTCTTTCATGGTTAGGTTAGATTAGATTATGAGATTCTAGGCTAGGTTAGGTTAGGTTAGGTTAGGGTTAGTTAGGTTAGAGTAGGTTAGGCTAGGTTAGGTTAGGTTAGGTTAGGTTAGGTTAGGTTAGGTTAGGTTAGGTTAAGTTAGATGAGGTTAGGTTAGATGAGGTTAGGTTAGATAAGGTTAGGTTAGGCTAGGTTAGGTTAGGTTAGGTTAGGTTAGGTTAGATGAGGTTAGGTTAGATAAGGTTAGGTTAGGTTAGGTTAAGTTAGGTTAGGTTAGGGTAGAAAGAAGGAACACTGCAGCAGGCGTACTGGCCCATGCGAGGCAGGTCCAAGTCTCCTACTGGCTTAAGCCAATGCACCCAACCTAGTCAGGTCAGGTCACATTCACTTAAGGGAGGAACACGGCAACCGACCTGGTAGCACAAGCTATCAGGTCCAACTCACACCCACTCATGTATTTATCTAACCTATTTTTAAAGCTACACAACGTTCTGGCCTCTATAACTGTACTCGGGAGTTTGTTCCACTCATCCACAACTCTATTACCAAACCAGTGCTTTTCTATATCCTTCCTGAATCTGAATTTTTCCAACTTAAAACCATTGCTGCGAGTCCTGTCTAGGCTAGATATTTTAAGCACACTATTTACATCCCCTTTATTTATTCCTGTCTTCCATTTATACACCTCAATCATATCCCCCCTAATTCTACGTCTTTCTAGAGAGTGCAGTTTCAGGGCCCTCAGTCTATCCTCATAGGGAAGGTTTCTGATACATGGGATCAACTTTGTCATCCTCCTTTGTACATTTTCCAGAGAATTTATATCCATTCTGTAATACGGTGACCAAAACTGTGCAGCATAATCTAAATGAGGCCTAACCAAGGATGTATAGAGTTGAAGAACAACCTGAGGACTCCTATTATTTATGCTTCTTGATATGAAGCCAAGAATTCTGTTAGCTTTATTGCGAACATTAATACACTGTTGTCTTGGTTTCAGATTACTGTTAACCAGAACTCCTAAATCTTTTTCGCAATCAGTAATATTAAGATCGACATTATTTAGTTTATATACAATTGTTTATAACTATTGTGGTCATTAATAACCCACATTGAGACAGAAACTCAAGAGAATAATTAATTTGTATATTTCGACACCTTCTGGGATCCTCTTCATCTGCTGAAGAGGACCCCAGAAGGTGGTCAAAATATATGACCATGTGGATTATTACTGAGTTAGTTAGTTTAATATGTTTATTATGCACCCCATACCCATCCTGTGGGCGGTAGTCAAAAGATTACAGAGGTACATAATTGGTCCAGGGACTGGACTCCAAAGTTTTGATAGCTGAGCAAGTTACAAAGGTAATGAACTAGATCTGGTCACACTGAGACAGGTGTTTATTACACTTTAACCAATTACTGTTGTTATTAGCTAGCGGAGGAGGGACTAACCTGGAGGAGCTGGTCGTCAGGCTGGTCCAGGTTGGTGGTAATGGAGTCGTAGAGGAGAGCATCCAGGCTGGAGAGAGAATCAGACGACCCAGTACTGTGGTAGTACGACTTGCCTCCCGTCTCCTTGGCCTTATCAAAAAACAAAAATATATAATTTATTAATAAAAAAAAAACGAAGTTAAATAACCCCGTCAGATGCTAAAAGATAGTCAGGGGAAGCCAGCGAAATACCTGGGTCACAACGCCCAAAAATTATTTCAGCGAAAATGTTTTATGGCCATCATCAGAGTTAGGAAGAGTTGTACTAGAGGGTCCCTCTACCCACTAATTTATCAGCCTCACTGTAGTTCGCCAAACAGTGTATTCGAAAGAAATTTCGTTAACTCTGAAAAGTGGTTGGAGATTCAGCCACATTGGTGCCCAGTGGCCTGGTGGTTAAAGCTTTTGTTTTCCACGGCGAGTGTCCGGGTTTGATTTCCAGCGAGGGGTAGAAACACTGGGCGTGTTTCTTTACACTGGTTGTGTATGTTCACCCATCAGTAAAGTGGATACCTGGGTGTTAGTGGACTGGTGTGGGTCGCATCCTGGGACAAACTGACCTAATTTGCGGGAAATGCTCAGCATATCAAGGGACTTTCTATATAGTAGTATGTCATTGATGTCAGCTATGGTCTGTATACCTTGTACATGTACTTGTAGTAAACAGAGATATTAATTTATTTATTTATTTATTGTCTGGATAACCACAACAAGGCTGGAGGTCAAGCCTTCGATTTTTTTTACTGTGAGGTTGAAGACTTGTTTTAAACATGATGTGGTATGCAAAGAGTATGTAACCTTTATTCGGCGCATGTACACACCCTCATTGAAAGGCGGTCTCCTCCAACCAGCGAACCAGGTGCTAAGAGTTGACGATGGGGCCCCATCGTTCAATCAGTACCCAGGTTCCAGCCAATGAGAAGATGGTTTTGGCAATCGCAGAGGTGATGTGGGTACCACACACCTGTCTGCCCTTGTCATTCCCATTCTAGAGCTGGTTGAAGCACGGTCTGCTCTCTAGTGGCTTCTATTCTGCCTTGCTTACCGTGGAGTGCACTAATATCTATTGTTGTACATAGTGTATATAGTGTACATACTTCTGTTCTTACGTGGTGAAGGATAATATAAGTCAAAAGTTTTTCTGCTGTGTTTATTTTTCTCCCTTTACACCCAGGATAACAGGCCTTTGGATTCCTGGGTTGTAATACAGGAGAACTGCATTTACGTTAACTTTATACAATTCCGATATGTTGATACATAAGACACCTGTACAATACATCAGTATCTTTATTGTGAAGACGTTTTGACCGCCCGGGTTCTATCAGTTCACTGTAAAGATTGTATACCAGTTAGAGTGGAAGAAGTGGTCAGTCCCTGATGTTGTCACCCAGACCTGTGGTCACTACGTGATGTTGTCACCCTGACCTGTGGTCACTACGTGATGTCACCCTGACCCGTGGTCACTACGTGATGTTGTCACCCAGACCTGTGGTCAGTGCGTGATGTCACCCAGACCTGTGGTCAGTACGTGATGTTGTTACCCAGACCTGTGGTCAGTACGTGATGTTGTCACCCTGACCTGTGGTCACTACGTGATGTTGTCACCCAGACCTGTGGTCACTACGTGATGTTGTCACCCAGACCTGTGGTCACTACGTGATGTTGTCACCCAGACCTGTGGTCACTACGTGATGTTGTCACCCAGACCTGTGGTCAGTACGTGATGTTGTCACCCTGACCCGTGGTCACTACGTGATGTTGTCACCCAGACCTGTGGTCACTACGTGATGTTGTCACCCAGACCTGTGGTCAGTACGTGATGTTGTCACCCTGACCTGTGGTCACTACGTGATGTTGTCACCCAGACCTGTGGTCAGTGCGTGATGTTGTCACCCAGACCTGTGGTCAGTACGTGATGTTGTCACCCAGACCTGTGGTCAGTACGTGATGTTGTCACCCAGACCTGTGGTCACTACGTGATGTCACCCAGACCTGTGGTCACTACGTGATGTTGTCACCCAGACCTGTGGTCACTACGTGATGTTGTCACCCAGACCTGTGGTCACTACGTGATGTTGTCACCCAGACCTGTGGTCCCTACGTGATGTTGTCACCCAGACCTGTGGTCACTACGTGATGTTGTCACCCAGACCTGTGGTCACTACGTGATGTTGTCACCCAGACCTGTGGTCACTACGTGATGTTGTCACCCAGACCTGTGGTCACTACGTGATGTTGTCACCCAGACCTGTGGTCACTACATGATGTTGTCACCCAGACCTGTGGTCAGTGCGTGATGTTGTCACCCAGACCTGTGGTCACTACGTGATGTTGTCACCCAGACCTGTGGTCACTACGTGATGTTGTCACCCAGACCTGTGGTCAGTGAGTGATGTTGTCACCCAGACCTGTGGTCAGTGCGTGATGTTGTCACCCTGGCCTGTGGTCACTACGTGATGTTGTCACCCAGACCTGTGGTCACTACGTGATGTTGTCACCCAGACCTGTGGTCAGTACGTGATGTTGTCACCCAGACCTGTGGTCAGTACGTGATGTTGTCACCCAGACCTGTGGTCACTACGTGATGTCACCCAGACCTGTGGTCACTACGTGATGTTGTCACCCAGACCTGTGGTCAGTGCGTGATGTTGTCACCCAGACCTGTGGTCAGTGCGTGATGTTGTCACCCAGACCTGTGGTCAGTGCGTGATGTTGTCACCCAGACCTGTGGTCAGTGCGTGATGTTGTCACCCAGACCTGTGGTCACTACGTGATGTTGTCACCCAGACCTGTGGTCAGTACGTGATGTTGTCACCCAGACCTGTGGTCAGTACGTGATGTTGTCACCCAGACCTGTGGTCAGTGCGTGATGTTGTCACCCAGACCTGTGGTCAGTGCGTGATGTTGTCACCCAGACCTGTGGTCAGTGCGTGATGTTGTCACCCTGGCCTGTGGTCAGTACGTGTTGTCACCCAGACCTGTGGTCAGTACGTGATGTGCTTACCCAGAGTTCCAGACTGTCAGTAGCGTTGGGACCAAAGGAGACAGTATTGATGACTATCCGTTTTCTCTTGATGGCTGGTAATTTGGTCTCCACCTTGGGATACATGGTCTCCTCACCATCTGTGATGAGTATGACCATCAATCCCTCACTCTCCGTGCCTGTGTTCTCCACCAGCTGCAACAGCAATAAGCACGTGTGAGACACGGTACACGGGGTGTACAGGAAACACCGTGTTCATGTATATTACTGGTTCACAGAACCGAAGGGTTGATGAATTAGACACTTGTGCGACACTTGGGGTATCTTTACTGTGGAAACGGTTCACCGACCAGTGGTTTCCTCAGTCCAATACAGAGAAGAATGGTTGAAGATCAGGAGTTTGAGATAATCAGTCTCTCAGCCTAGAGTCAACTCCAGGCTGGGGGACTGATTACCGTGTTCATGATGCATTAAATTGTTGCAGATAACACTTAAGACAAGACACTGGCTTTATTAAGACGATGTTTCTGTAGAGGTACTGACTTGATAAGGCTTTTAAAAAAGGGCAAAACGTTCTTACAAACGCCTGGCTGAGGACCAGACTACCAGAATCTGCACAGATGACGTTAAGTTAATATAACAGAAGGCTCTCTCCCCACCTTCCAGCCAAACTGCCGAAATGACAGACTTGCTGAAAATACCTACACGTACCTGGAGGACGACCCTCCACCCACCTGAAGTAACAACTCTCACCTACCTGGAGTATAAACTCGAGTGCTCCACCAATAGCCGTGTAGCCACCTACAACATAGGTGTCAGGCAGTTTACTGACGATGTCCTCACGATCCCTCGGTACCACTGTGAAGGGCAGGTCTAAGTGGGACGTGTTAGCGAAGGACACTACCGCTAGTAGACTCCCAGTAGGTACCAGATCCCTGACGAACCTGGTGGTAAATTCATTTAGGTACAGGTATAAATGGTATAAGCCTTGGTAACAGACACCGACAAATTGGCTTAAAAAGACCCAGGACCGTGGTCCAAGGTCCTGGGACCCATGATCACTTCTAGGATGCAGAGAAAGTACAAAATACCGAATATATAAACATACAAGATACCCAACCAGGCAAAGCACCACCTACCCAACAACACAGGAGTCACATGATCTCATTGTTTACCTGTCTTCACTCCTACATGGCATTCTTCAGGTCACCATGTGTCACTCACACCTCACTCTCCGACTATATACACTGTCTTTTTAACATATATATAGGCAGGTGACCACACGAAGAAGGACCAGACCAGGATGTCCTGGCCAACCTACCTATAACCTCTCTATGTTAGAACTCATCAAGATCTCGGGACCAAAAGTTTGCGCATAAACATGATCTAGTGTCTGGTCACCTGTTTTTCTACACATAAAGTTACACAAATTATCATACATAGTAACAGGATAACCCAAAAATAAGACAGAGAATGTGGTAGTGGTTAATGGTGGTAGACAGTGGTAGTAGTGGTGTTAGTACCAGTGGTGAGACTGGAGAGAGAGACTGAGAGTTGTGGTTGTTGTGATAGTGGTAGTACGTATGGTAGTAGTAGTGGTACTGGATGGTAATGAGTACTCCCTATATAAATCAGCACATCTAAATTGAAAATGTATATATCCTAACGAGTATATCTAATAGGTATAGGATTAAGTGTATGTCAGATATATACGTATAATTTTAATATATATTCCATACAACGTATATTCTAAATATATATATTCCCTACTAAGTATATTTTCCAGATATCCCCTAATTATAATCTGTTCAAAAATAGTATATACCAGAGTTCTGGTGGTCAGAAATGCCAGATAAAGATTCGAACCTTTCTCAAAATTTTGAAACCTGGGAACGGTCCCAAATTTAATTTTGAAACCCAGGTCCTGTACAAATCATTTTTCAAAATTCAAAGTTCAGACCTTTTGGCAAATCTATCAATAATTAAGTTTAAGAATTCGAGGTGTCCTAATGACCGAATCAGGTGATGACTGAACCCGGTCCTGTTATGAACTGGGAACCGGAGGTCCATGCTATGGACAACCGCAGGTCTGTACTTGTTTCTGACTGAAACCTGGTTAAAGGTTCAGCAGTGTTTCTGAAGTCGGTTCTCTTGGCTGGTGTTGACTGAAACAGGTGTTTAAAATGTTTTCAGCAGGCTCTTTTTATGTGGTTGGTTCTGCAGAGGTGAGGTGTTGGTATAGTGTTGTTTGTGACCTTTTCTTGATAATCGTTGTAGGTGTTTTGATGATTCAGGTGTGTGGTGTTTGATGATTCAGGTGTGTGGTGCTTGTGATGATTCAGGTGTGTGGTGTTTATGATGATTCAGGTGTGTGGTGTTGTGATGATTCAGGTGTGTGGTGTTTGATGTCAGGTGTGTTTTGTATATCAGGTGTGTGGTGTTGTGATGATTCAGGTGTGTGGTGTTTGTGATGATTCAGGTGTGTGGTGTTTGTGATGATTCAGGTGTGTGGTGTTTGTGATGATTCAGGTGTGTGGTGTTGTGATGATTCAGGTGTGTGGTGTTGTGATGATTCAGGTGTGTGGTGTTTGTGATGATTCAGGTGTGTGGTGTTTTGTGATGATTCAGTGTGTGGTGTTGTGATGATTCAGGTGTGTGGTGTTGTGATGATTCAGGTGTGTGGTGTTTGTGATGATTCAGGTGTGTGGTGTTTGTGATGATTCAGGTGTGTGGTGTTGTGATGATTCAGGTGTGTGGTGTTGTGATGATTCAGGTGTGTGGTGCTTGTGATGATTCAGGTGTGTGGTGTTTGTGATGATTCAGGTGTGTGGTTGTGATGATCAGGGTGTGGGTTGTATGATTCAGGTGTGTGGTTTTGATGATTCAGGTGTGTGGTGTTGTGATGATTCAGGTGTGTGGTGTTCTGATGATTCAGGTGTGTGGTAGCTTGTGATGATTCAGGTGTGTGGTGTTGTGATGATTCAGGTGTGTGTGGTGTTGTGATGATTCAGGTGTGTGGTGTTGTGTGATGATTCAGGTGTGTGGTGCTTGTGATGATTCAGGTGTGTGGTGTTGTGATGATTCAGGTGTGTGGCTTGTGATGATTCAGGTGTGTGGTGTTGTGATGATTCAGGTGTGTGGTGCTTGTGATGATTCAGGTGTGTGGTGTTTGTGATGATTCAGGTGTGTGGTGCTTGTGATGATTCAGGTGTGTGGTGTTGTGATGATTCAGGTGTGTGGTGTTGTGATGATTCAGGTGTGTGGTGCTTGTGATGATTCAGGTGTGTGGTGTTTGTGATGATTCAGGTGTGTGGTGTTTGTGATGATTCAGGTGTGTGGTGTTTGTGATGATTCAGGTGTGTGGTGTTTGTGATGAATTCAGGTGTGTGGTGCTGTGATGATTCAAGTGTTGGTTTGTGATGATTCAGGTGTGTGGTGTTTGTGATGATTCAGGTGTGTGGTGCTTGTGATGATTCAGGTGTGTGGTGCTTGTGACTGACTCAGGTGTGTAGTGTTTGTGATGATTCAGGTGTGTGGTGTTGTGATGATTCAGGTGTGTGGTGTTTGTGATGATTCAGGTGTGTGGTGTTTGTGATGATTCAGGTGTGTGGTGCTTGTGATGATTCAGGTGTGTGGTGCTTGTGATGATTCAGGTGTGTGGTGCTTGTGATGATTCAGGTGTGTGGTGCTTGTGATGATTCAGGTGTGTGATGCTTGTGATGATTCAGGTGTGTGGTGCTCGTGATGACTCAGGTGTGTGGTGCTTGTGATGATTCAGGTGTGTGGTGCTTGTGATGATTCAGGTGTGTGGTGCTCTTGATGACTCAGGTGTGTGGTGCTTGTGATGATTCAGGTGTGTGGTGCTTGTGATGATTCAGGTGTGTGGTGCTTGTGATGATTCAGGTGTGTAGTGTTTGTGGTGATCACGCAGGTATATGGCAATAAAACACTCCAATTACCCAAACATAAGTTTTTCTTAGGTATCATAATTTTCAAACACCATATTGCACCCCGTAAATGTAAATCAAAGAAGTGTAAATTGTAAAAATAAGAGTTTATCATATGTCTAATAAGATTATGTTTAACTACTGTGTTATTTACAATATTTTAAGTAAGGAAGAACAAAATAAGGGTAAAGCTGGAAGCCCCTTCCTGCTGCAGGAGTCAGTCCTTTCTATACAGAAGTTGAAGGAAGTAGACCCTTCCTGCTGCAGGAGTCAGTCCTTTCTATACAGAAGTTGAAGGAAGTAGACCCTTCCTGCTGCAGGAGTCAGTCCTTTCTATACAGAAGTTGAAGGAAGTAGACCCTTCCTGCTGCAGGAGTTAGTCCTTTCTATACAGAAGTTGAAGGAAGTAGACCCTTCCTGCTGCAGGAGTTAGTCCTTTCTATACAGAAGTTGAAGGAAGTAGACCCTTCCTGCTGCAGGAGTCAGTCCTTTCTATACAGAAGTTGAAGGAAGTAGACCCTTCCTGCTGCAGGAGTCAGTCCTTTCTATACAGAAGTTGAAGGAAGTAGACCCTTCCTGCTGCAGGAGTTTAGTCCTTTCTATACAGAAGTTGAAGGAAGTAGACCCTTCCTGCTGCAGGAGTAGTCCTTTCTATACAGAAGTTGAAGGAAGTAGACCCTTCCTGCTGCAGGAGTCAGTCCTTTCTATACAGAAGTTGAAGGAATAGACCCTTCCTGCTGCAGCAGTCAGTCCTTTCTATACAGAAGTTGAAGGAAGTAGACCCTTCCTGCTGCAGGAGTCAGTCCTTTCTATACAGAAGTTGAAGGAAGTAGACCCTTACTGCTGCAGGAGTCAGTCCTTTCTATACAGAAGTTGAAGGAACTAGCCTTCCCGCTGCAGAGATCAGCTCCTCCTATAAAAGTTGAAGGAAGTAGACCTTCCTGCTGCAGAGTCCCGTCCTTTCTATACAGAAGTTGAAGGAAGTAGACCCTTCCTGCTGCAGGGTCAGTCTTTCTATACAGAAGTTAAGGGAAGTAGACCCTTCCTGCTGCAGGACAGTCACTTTCTATACAGAAGTTGAAGGAAGTAGACCCTTCTGCTGCAGAGTCAGTATTTCTAATACAGAATTGAAGGAAGTAAACCCTTACCTGCTGCAGGAGTCAGTCCTTCTATACAGAAGTTGAAGGAACTAGCCCTTCTGCTGCAGGAGTCAGTCTTTCTATACAGAAGTTGAAGGAACTAGCCCTTCCTGCTGCAGGAGTCAGTCCTTACTATACAGAAGTTGAAGGAAGTATACCTCCTGCTGCAGGAGTCAGTCCTTTCTATACAGAATTCAAGGAAGTAGACCCTTCCTGCGAATCAGTCCTTTCTATACAGAAGTTGAAGGAATACCCTTCCTGCTGCAGATCAGTCCTTTCTATACAGAAGTTGAAGGAAAGCCCCTTCTGCTGCAGGAGTCAGTCCTTTCTATACAGAAGTTGAAGGAAGTAGACCTCCTGCTGCAGGATCGTCCTTCTATACAGAAGTTGAAGGAACTAGCCCCTTCCTGCTGCAGGAGTCAGTCCTTTTATACAGAAGTTGAAGGAGTAGACCCTTCCTGCTGCAGGAGTCATCCTTCTATACAGAAGTTGAAGGAAGTAAACCTTCCTGCTGCAGGATCATCCTTTCTATACAGAAGTTGAAGAAGTAGACCTTCCTGCTGCAGAGTCAGTCTTCCTAACAAAGTTGAAGAAGTAGACCTTCCTGCTGCAGGAGTCAGTCTTCTATACAGAAGTTGAAGAAAGTAGACCCTTCCTGCTGCAGGAGTCAGTCCTTTCATACAGAAGTTGAAGAAGTAGACCCTTCCTGCTGCAGAGTCAGTCCTTTCTATACAGAAGTTGAAGGAAGTAGACCCTTCCTGCTGCAGGAGTCAGTCCCTTTCTATACAGAAGTTGAAGAAGTAGACCCTTCCTGCTGCAGGAGTCAGTCCTTTCTATACAGAAGTTGAAGGAAGTAGACCCTTCCTGCTGCAGGAGTCAGTCCTTTCTATACAGAAGTTGAAGGAAGTAGACCCTTCCTGCTGCAGGAGTCAGTCCTTTCTATACAGAAGTTGAAGGAAGTAGACCCTTCCTGCTGCAGGAGTCAGTCCTTTCTATACAGAAGTTGAAGGAAGTAGACCCTTCCTGCTGCAGGAGTCAGTCCTTTCTATACAGAAGTTGAAGGAACTAGCCCCTTCCTGCTGCTGGAGTCAGTCCCTATACAGAAGTTAAAGGAACTAGCCCCGTAATGCAGCAGAAGTCAGTCCTTCCTACACAGAAGCAGTGGGAGGAGGAACCAGGTTCTCCTGCAGCAGAAGAACAATAACTCACACTCCGTCCTTAAAGTCCTGGTGCTGTGTGATCACTTCCCACACTGAGCGTCCGTCACACTGCATATTGTGAGCGTTGGGAGCATAAGGGTTGTGAGGCAGCTCTTCGTTGTCACAGAACATTCTCACCTGCACACGAAACAAAAAAAAAGTGAGAGAAAGATGAACGTCTGTGAATATTACAAAAAAAAAAGACTGTCAAAGATTATGCAGGAAGGCAGGATGTATTATCTAGGTGAATGCTGGGAAGAACTGGCTCATCTAGGATTCCAAGAGCTTGGAGGAGGGTTGAATCAACTACTGTACGATTCTAAGAGTTTGGAGGAGGATTGAATTAACTACGATTCAATGGGCTTGGAGGAGGACTGAATCAGTTATGATTCAAGGGGCTTGGAAAATGATTGAATCAGCTATGATTCAAGAGGCTTGGAGGAGAAGTGAATCAACTACAATTTTAGCGGCTTAGGGAAGGATTGGATCCTCTAGGTGCCTCTTAGAAAGGGGAAGCTTCACCGTGGAGACAGGTGACAGGGACCCGACAGACGCGAGGATACCCAACCAGCCGTAAGTAGACGAATTAAACACCTGTACAACACTTGTTGCAACCTGTCGGCTCCCTGAACCAGTTTCCCACTGTCGTAGCTACTTACGTTGTCGAGGAAGTAGAGGTTCATGAGAGAGGCAGTGATGTTGTTGTCACTGTCCTCAGCCGGGAAGAAGTGGCACTGTGAGTCTGGCATCCCCGAGGCGTCAGCGTGGCACTCTGATCCATCTATGTTCCTTAACCAGCCCTTGATGCCTTCAGTGCACCCCGTCACGTGCACCTGTACAAGTGCACGGTCTGTGTGAGGCTTCAAACAGGTACACAAGTGCACTATACACTACCATACACCTGGTGGTGTATGGTGGTATCACTGTATCAGAACATACACAATAACGCTAATCTTATATACACTTGTATGTGAAGGGTTACCCTACTCTGCATGTTCTCTTGTCCCACTCACCTGCATGTTCTCTTGTCCCACTCACCTGCATGTTCTCTTGCCCCCACTCACCTGCATGTCCTCCCCGATGTAGAAGGTAGGTGTAGATGTGGCAGGTTCCCCATATTCATCAAACACTCCCCAGCGTAGATGAGCCCACTCATGAACCAATACCTTACCTGAGTGGGGACACGTATATCTGAGTACCTGAGTGGGGACACGTATATCTGAGTACCTGAATGGGGACACGTATATCTGAGTACTTGAGTGAGGACACATATATCTGAGCACCTGAGTGGGGACACATATCTGATTACCTCACAAGACACTGGGACATCAGGCTGAAGATCAGGGAGGACACTACAGAGGATCAAGACATTTTTAACAGGAAGGAAATGAGTTACCACCAGGGAGGAGGTGATGGAATGGGCGATCGTGACGCGTGAGGTTCCACAAGAGTCAGTACTGGGACCGGTACTGTTTCTTATCACATAAATAGCTTTGTGTGTATCCCATGGCCTTTTAAAATAAGAAATATGTGTCTACACACATACGCACACACACACACACACACACACACACACACACACACACACACACACACACACACACACACACACACACACACACACACAAATACAAAAAAAAGACCAAGTGTCTATTGACAAGTGCCTTTCACAGCTAATTAAGCAAGTTGACACACTCACCTAAGAGAACACACTCACCTAAGACATACTCACCTAAGACAACACACTCGCATAAGACAACGCACTCACCTAAGACAACACATTCACCTAAAACAACATACTGACACGTATGGTGACACACTCACCTAGTCCCACACACTCACTTAAGGTGACACACTCACCTGGAGAGCCAAAGGTAGGCAGTAGACTGGAGTACATCTTAGCAGCGTACTCAGGTGAGAGGTGAATGTACTCACCAGGGTCACCACACCCACCTAGCTGCAGGGTGTAGGGTGAGTCCCCATGTAAAGGGTGGGGCAGGTCCACCCTTACGTCGGCCCCACTAACCCACCCCAAGCCAGTGGTGGCCTGAGGGTTTGTCGGCGCCAACCCACACACACGAAGGGTGGGCACAGAGATGTTAATTAGGTTTGGAATCTATCGGTTAGGTATTAAATCTATCGATATGGTCTTAAATCTATCTGCTAGATTATAAATCTACCTGCTAGGTTATAAATCTATCTGCTAGATTATAAATCTATCTGCTAGTTTATAAATCTATCGGCTAGATTATAAATCTGTCGACGGTATTACGCTGAGAAGGACTCTTGATCCGACGAAGTAGCGCTGCCATTTTATGAAGGTGACAGCAGCCAGGACAGTAGACAGATGACAGGAGTCAGGAGACAGTAAACAGGAGACAGTAGATAGGAGACAGGAGACAGTAGACAGGTGACAGGAGTCAGGAGACAGCAGACAGTAGACAGGAGACAGGAGACAGTAGACAGGTGACAGGAGTCAGAAGACAGTAGACAAGAGACAGTAGATAGTAGACCGCAGACAGGAGACAGGAGACAGTAGACATAGACAGTAGACATAGACAGTAGACATACACAGTAGACAGGGAGGGACACACTCACAAATTCTGAAAATAATTTAACGTCACCTCCGTTTCTTAATCATAGCCAACTACGTCATATCTACGTCATATCACCCTCATATCACCCTCATATCACCCTCATATCACCCTCATATCACCCTCATATCACCCTCATATCACCCTCATATCACCCTCATATCACCCTCATCAACCCAAGAGAATAATGAAGGCACCTTTGCTCGTGACCAGGACTGCTACGGTACCTTTGTCGCCAATAATGAAGGGAGTACCTGAGCCTGGGTGGCCCACACGGGTTTACAGCTTCACGTTAATAACGAGGCAGGTTTATCTGGATATGTGAGTGTGTGTAGGAGGTGACTGTCTCTCTTATGTAGTGGACGTTATGTGTGAGTAGTGATCTATATCTTGTTATTATTATTATTATTATTATTATTATTATTATTATTATTATTATTATTATTATTATTATTATTATTATTATTATTATTATTATTATAGTAATAGTGTTTTTAGAATGAGGGACAATATGCCAGGTAAAAAGGACACAAGTGCACCAATGCATCATGTTATTGTTGCAACGTTTCGCCCTCCAGGAGCTTCCTCAAGCACTGGTCTGGAGTTTTACCACTTACTTGCCGCGAGTTCAATCCCCGCCCGTACTCTGGTGTGTCGATAGCCATTACTGTAGCTCTCTGTCTCCCTGTGTTGTTTGTGGCGACTTATCGCTCTCCAGGAGCGAAACGTTGCCACAGTTAAATGTTGCATTAGATACACTTGTGTCCTTTCACCTGACATGTTATTGTTGTTGTTACACAGGTGGGAGGGTCGAGTGTTGTTACACAGGTGGGAGGGTCGAGTGTTGTTACACAGGTGGGAGGGTCGAGTGTTGTTACACAGGTGGGAGGGTCGAGTGTTGTTGTTACACAGGTGGGAGGGTCGAGTGTTGTTACACAGGTGGGAGGGTCGAGTGTTGTTGTTACACAGGTGGGAGGGTCGAGTGTTGTTGTTACACAGGTGGGAGGCTCGAGTGTTGTTGTTACACAGGTGGGAGGGTCGAGTGTTGTTGTTACACAGGTGGGAGGGTCGAGTGTTGTTGTTACACAGGTGGGAGGCTCGAGTGTTGTTGTTACACAGGTGGGAGGGTCGAGTGTTGTTGTTACACAGGTGGGAGGGTCGAGTGTTGTTGTTACACAGGTGGAGGGTCGAGTGTTTTTTGTTACACAGGTGGAGAGGGTCGAGTGTTGTTGTTACACAGGTGGGAGGGTCGAGTGTTGTTGTTACACAGGTGAGAGGGTCGAGTGTTGTTGTTACACAGGTGGGAGGGTCGAGTGTTGTTGTTACACAGGTGGGAGGGTCGGAGTTGTTGTTACACAGGTGGGAGGGTCGAGTGTTATCGGTTTGTTACACAGGTGGGAAGGTCGAGTGTTGTTGTTACACAGGTGGGAGGGTCGAGTGTTGTTGTTACACAGGTGGGAGGGTCGAGTGTTGTTGTTACACAGGGTGGAGGGTCGAGTGTTGTTGTTACACAGGTGGGAGGGTCGAGTGTTGTTGTTACACAGGTGGGAGGGTCGAGTGTTGTTGTTACACAGGTGGGAGGGTCGAGTGTTGTTGTTACACAGGTGGGAGGGTCGAGTGTTGTTGTTACACAGATGGGAGGGTCGAGTGTTGTTGTTACACAGGTGGGAGGGTCGAGTGTTGTTACACAGGTGGGAGGGTCGAGTGTTGTTACACAGGTGGGAGGGTCGAGTGTTGTTGTTACACAGGTGGGAGGGTCGAGTGTTGTTACACAGGTGGGAGGGTCGAGTGTTGTTGTTACACAGGTGGGAGGGTCGAGTGTTGTTACACAGGTGGGAGGGTCGAGTGTTGTTATTACACAGGTGGGAGGGTCGAGTGTTGTTACACAGGTGGGAAGGTCGAGTGTTGTTACTCAGATGGGAGGGTCGAGTGTTGTTACACAGGTGGGAGGGTCGAGTGTTGTTACACAGGTGGGAGGGTCGAGTGTTGTTACACAGGTGGGAGGGTCGAGTGTTGTTACACAGGTGGGAGGGTTGAGTGTTGTTACACAGGTGGGAGGGTCGAGTGTTGTTATTACACAGGTGGGAGGGTCGAGTGTTGTTACACATGTGGGAGGGTCGAGTGTTCTTGTTACACAGGTGAGAGGGTCGAGTGTTGTTGTTACACAGGTGGGAGGGTCGAGTGTTGTTGTTACACAGGTGGGAGGGTCGAGTGTTGTTGTTACACAGGTGAGAGGGTCGAGTGTTGTTGTTACACAGGTGGGAGGGTTGAGTGTTGTTACACAGGTGGGAGGGTCGAGTGTTGTTGTTACACAGGTGAGAGGGTCGAGTGTTGTTACACAGGTGGGAGGGTCGAGTGTTGTTGTTACACAGGTGGGAGGGTCGAGTGTTGTTGTTACACAGGTGGGAGGGTCGAGTGTTGTTGTTACACAGGTGGGAGGGTCGAGTGTTGTTGTTACACAAGTGGGAGGGTCGAGTGTTGTTACACAGGTGGGAGGGTCGGATGTTGTTACACAGGTGGGAGGGTCGAGTGCTGTTACACAGGTGGGAGGGTCGAGTGTTGTTACACAGGTGGGAGGGTCGAGTGTGTTGTTACACAGGTGGGAGGGTCGAGTGTTTGTTACACAGGTGGGAGGGTCAAGTGTTGTGTTACACAGGTGGGAGGGTCGATGTGTTGTTACACAGGTGGGAGGGTCGAGTGTTTGTTACCAGGTGGGAGGGTCGAGTGTTGTTACACAGGTGGGAGGGTCGAGTGTTGTTACACAGGTGGGAGGGTCGAGTGTTGTTACACAGGTGGGAGGGTCGAGTGTTGTTACACAGGGGGGGGAGGGTCGAGTGTTGTTACACAGGTGGGAGGGTCGAGTGTTGTTTACACAGGTGGGAGGGTCGAGTGTTGTTACACAGGTGGGAAGGTCGAGTGTTGTTACCAGGTGGGAGGGTCGAGTGTTGTTACACAGGTGGAAGGGTCGAGTGTTGTTACACAGGGTGGGAGGGTCGAGTGTTGTTACACAGGTGGGAGGGTCGAGTGTTGTTTTACACAGGTGGGAGGGTCGAGTGTTGTTACACAGGTGGGAGGGTCGAGTGTTTTGTTACACAGGTGGGAGGGTGAGTGTTGTTGTTACACAGGTGGGAGGGTCGAGTGTTGTTTTACACAGGTGGGAAGGTCGAGTGTTGTTTACACAGGTGGGAGGGTCGAGTGTTGTTGTTACACAGGTGGGAGGGTCGAGTGTTTTGTTACACAGTGGGAGGGTCGAGTGTTGTTACACAGGTGGGAGGGTCGGATGTTGTTAACACAGGTGGGAGGGTCGAGTGTTGTGTTACACAGGTGGGAGGGTTCGAATGTTGTTACACAGGTGGGAGGGTCGAGTGTGTTGTTACACAGGTGGAGAGGGTCGAGTGTTGTTACACAGGTGGGAGGGTCAAGTGTTGTTACACAGGTGGGAGGGTCGAGTGTTGTGTTACACAGGTGGGAGGGTCGAGGTGTTGTTACACAGGTGGGAGGGTCGAGTGTTGTTACACAGGTGGGAGGGTCGAGTGTTGTGACACAGGTGGGAGGGTCGAGTGTTGTTACACAGGTGGGAGGGTCGAGTGTTGTTACGCAGGTGGGAGGGTCGAGTGTTGTTACACAGGTGGGAGGGTCGAGTGTTGTTAGACAGGTGGGAGGGTCGAGTGTTGTTACACAGGTGGGAGGGTCGACTGTTGTTACACAGGTGGGAGGGTCGGATGTTGTTACACAGGTGGGAGGGTCGAGTGTTGCTACACAGGTTGGAGGGTCGAGTGTTGTTATTACACAGGTGGGAGGGTCGAGTGTTGTTACACAGGTGGGAGGGTCGAGTGTTGTTGTTACACAGGTGGGAGGGTCGAGTGTTGTTGTTACACAGGTGGGAGGGTCGAGTGTTGTTACACAGGTGGGAGGGTCGAGTGTTGTTGTTACACAGGTGGGAGGGTCGAGTGTGTTGTTACACAGGTGGGAAGGTCGATGTTGTTGTTACACAGGTGGGAGGGTCGAGTGTTGTTGTACACAGGTGGAGGGTCGAGTGTTGTTGTTACACAGGTGGGAGGGTCGAGTGTTGTTGTTACACAGGTGGGAGGGTCGAGTGTTGTTGTTACACAGGTGGGAGGGTCGAGTGTGTTGTTACACAGGTGGGAGGGGTCGAGTGTTGTTGTTACACAGGTGGGTAGGGTCGAGTGTTGTTGTTACACAGGTGGGAGGGTCGAGTGTTGTTGTTACACAGGTGGGAAGGTCGAGTGTTGTTGTTACACAGGTGGGAGGGTCGAGTGTTGTTGTTACACAGGTGGGAGGGTCGAGTGTTGTTGTTACACAGGTGGGAGGGTCGAAGGTTGTTTACACAGGTGGGAGGGTCGGTTTGTTGTTACACAGGTGGGAGGGTCGAGTAGTGTCTGTTGTTACACAGGTGGGAGGGTCGAGTGTTGTTACACAGGTGGGAGGGTCG